TTTGTTGAGTAAAGGTTTTGATGATTTTATAGCAATATTTCTTGGCTTATCCTCGTTTCCTTACACAATAACAACAAAAGAGTAGCAGGTGTGGCTGCTTATGCCCAAACACCTCATGGGGTGTGGTTCCTTGGTGCGCGGGATTGGGATCATGCTTTCAGGGGGCCTCCCAATTAGTTGGCCTAATGATGTGTCCCGTGCTTCCTGTTCTCCCTCCTCATTGGATAGTGCTTTAGGTCTTACAGGTCTGCAAGCAGCGATCCAAGGCACAACAGCTGGTCTGTATTTACCTGGTCTGTATTTTCGTTCAGCCGTGTGGTCAGGGTGCAGTCCACAGAAAGCATGGGTTCTAGTGGGAACATCTGCATCCCTGAAGGTTCTTGTCTTCGTTAGCCTCTCTCCCTTTTCCTTAACAAGAAAGTACAGTGGCTTAATCTCATCACAGACTAAGGAGGGTGGGTGATGCAGCAGTTCACACATGGCTGCTGATTGAAACATTGACGGTTTGAATTCTGTACAGATTACAGCCAAGAAAAGCCTATGGAGCAGTTCTCGGTCACATGGGGGTGCTGTGAGTCAGAATCGACGACGGCGACAGGAATTATGATTGGTGTTGGTTGTCCTTGAGTTGATTCTGAGTCACAGCATCCCTACGCCACAGAGCACAGCTGCCCCTGGGGCTTCCAAGGCTGGGATCTTTATGGGAGTACATCGCCAGGTATTCTCTCTCATGGAGCATCAGGTGGATTCCGACTGCTGATATTTTTGGTTGAAACTTGCCAGCATTGTGCCGCCAGGACTTCTTCCAACAATCACACCTGCACGAATGTGGATGTGTCTTCCTCCAAGCAGCACAGAGAAACCTGTTGCAGCCAATTGGTTCTGACTCATGGTGACTCCGTGTGCATCTGATGGAATTGTGCTCCATCAGGGTTTCAGTGGATGAATTTTTGTACGATCACTAGTTCTTTCTTCCCAGGTGCTTCTGTTGGGACTCGAACCTCCAACCCTTCTGTTGGCAGCCAAGCCCGTTAACCATTTGCACTTCTCAGGGACTCCACATCCCAGGGGAGTGGATCAGCTTAGAGAAGTAGAACGGCACAGGTGGTAATGCGCGGGGCTTGGGTTCTTCTTCTTCTTCTTTTTTTTTTTAACAGTTTTATTGGCACCTGATCCACATATCATACAATTCAATAGTTCAATCGTATCAAGAAGAGTTTTACAACTGGATTGCCCTTATTGTCCATAAACTTTGAAATGAGCAAGTTCATTGAATGGGAAGACCCATTAAGGCCCGACTTTCTGTACACCATATCCTACTTAGGGCTTGTAAACCAGAGCAAGCTGCAAGCTTTAATGATAGGTGCGATTTCTTTCTTGTCGGCAGCCCCTGTCTCTATCCTGTGGCATTCTTTTCAGCCTGTCTTCCTGTAGCAATGGAGAGTGTTTTAAAAGTGCCAAGTGACAGGCCTGGAGAATTTGAGGTTCCTAGATTCTTAAGGGTGTCGTTTTATGCCCCCAGAGAAACAGAATTCAGAACTTTACCAGGGGGGTTCTAAATGTTTGCTTTTGGAAGGTGCATTGAATTGATGTCATTATTATGTGGTACATGTCCTCCAATCCATAAAGGACTATATTTATTTCCTTTGGAGTTTAACGTTTTCTTTACAAACTACAGAAACGATCCTTGAAAGTATAGTCTTAGAGTTCAATGTTTTCTTTACAAACTACAGAAATGATCCCTGAAAGTGTAG